GCTGACGCTTTGTCCTTTTTGTCTTGTTTGCTACCTTACTGCTTCTGGACTTGACCTGCTTTGGCTGCAAGGCCCCCCCCACTCCACCCGCCCAGTCCGTTTGGGCCAAAGTCGTATGCAGGGACCTCTACCACACAAAGGCTAAATTAGGCAGTGCACTTCTTTCTGAGTCCCTGTGCTGCTCTCCCCTCCTCTGCCGAGGCTGCTGCCTCGTGGCTGTGCTGAGAACGTCAGCAATAAGCACCTGGATAGAACCACAAGGGTCCTCGCTGAGCTGTTATTTGGGGGGACAGGTGGCTACTGAGAACAGGGCTTCCTTCAGTCAATTGCATCGCCTCTCAATTGGATTTCAAAGGAACCCCCCCCCCCCCCTTCTGTCCATGCCTGGTGTGCCCTGCGCAATGTAGGCCTCCCTGTTAGGACGCTTTGATCTGTGCATGTTGGAGTGAGGGGTCTGGTGCCCGTGGGTCACCTTGGCAGGTGTAGAGTCCAGCTCCGTGAAGCTGGGAGCTTGTTATTGCTCACTTGTTTGTGGTGGTCTGGCAAGGGCCAACATTGATGCTGAAATCCAGCATTGCCTGAGCTCTGTGAGTGCAGCTTTCTCCCAATTGAAGTGCAGAGTGTTTGAGGACCAGGACATTCGCAGGGAAACCAAAATGCTTGTTTACAAGCTATTGTACTAACAACCTTACTGTATGCTTGTGAAATATGGACCACATATCAACGCCATCTCCAATTCCTCCAAAGATTCCATCAATGGTGTCTCCAAAAAATTTTACACATCATTTGGGAAAACAGGTGAACTAATATCAGTGTACTGGAAGAAGCAAAGATCACCAGTGTTGAAGCAATGATTCTTCAACATGAACTTCGTTGGACTGGTCATGCTGTGCAGATGCCTGATGATTGTTTTCCAAAGCAACTACTCTATTCCGAACTTAAAAATGGAAAGCGTAATGCTGGTGGTCAACAAAAGAGGTTTAAAGACTGTGTCAAGGCAAATCTAAAAAAAAGTAGTATAAACACCAACAACTGGGAAACACTGGCCTGCGAGTGCTCCAGTTGGAGAACAGCCTTGACTAAAGGTGTCATGGGCTTTGGAGACACTTGAACTCAGGACACAAGGGAGAAACGTGCTAAGAGGAAGGCACGCCTGGCAAATCCACACTGTGATCAACTCCTGCCCGGGAACCAATGTCCCCACTGTGGAAGGACGCGTGGGTCCAGAATTGGCCTCCACAGTCACTTACGGACTCATTGTTAAAACCATGTTTATGGAAGACAATCTTACTCGGCTACGAGTGATCGCCAAAGAAGAAAGAAGAAGGTGGAAACTGGGAGCAGGGCTTCCTTCAAATGCACATTCAGTTGATCTCTTCAAATTGGTGCAAGGGGATGTGTGGGGCAGGGGTGCCTACTTGAATAAAATATTAGGGTGGGGCAGGTAAGGCCTGCTCCACATAAGCAATCACAAGATGCAGCAAATGCATACCATATGAATGGCAGTGCCCCTCAACCTGGGAGGGGGCTGTCCTCTCAAATATTTTATTGCATGGACCAAAAGGACCTTGGCCCCTAGGACATAATAATAATAATAATAATAATAATGATAATAATAATAATAATAATAATAATAATAATAATAATTTATTATTTATACCCCGCCCATCTGGCTGGGTTTCCCCAGCCACTCTGGGCAGCTTCCAAAAGAATATTAAAATACTGTGATACATCAAACATTAAAAGCTTCCCTAAACAGGGCTGCCTTCAGATGTCTTCTAAAAGTCTGGTAGTTGTTGTTCTCTTTGACATCTGGTGGGAGGGCGTTCCACAGGGACGGCGTCACTACCGAGAAGGCCCTCTGCCTGGTTCCCTGTAACTTGGCTTCTCGCAGTGAGGGAACCGCCAGAAGGCCCTCGGCGCTGGACCTCAGTGTCTGGGTAGAACGATGGGGGTGGAGACGCTCCTTCAGGTATACTGGACCGAGGCCGTTTAGGGCTTTAAAGGTCAGCACCAACACTTTGAATTGTGCTCGGAAACGTACTGGGAGCCAATGTAGGTCTTTCAAGACCGGTGTTATATGGTCTCGGCGGCTTCTCCCAGTCACCAGTCTGGCTGCTGCGTTCTGGATTAGTTGTAGTTTCTGGGTCACCTTCAAAGGTAGCCCCACGTAGAGCGCATTGCAGTAGTCCAAGTGGGAGATAACCAGAGCATGCACCACTCTGGCGAGACAGTCTGTGGGCAGGGAGGGTCTCATCTTGCATACCAGATGGAGCTGGTACACAGCTGCCCTGGACACGGATTTAACCTGTGCCTCCATGGACAGCTGTGAGTCCAAAATGACTCCCAGGCTGCGCACCTGGTCCTTCAGGGGCACAGTTACCCCATTCAGGACCAGGGAATCCTCCACACCTGCCCGCCTCCTGTCCCCCAGAAACAGTACTTCTGTCTTGTCAGGATTCAATCTCAATCTGGCTCCTATGGTGTTGGTTAAGACCTGCAGCTCAGCAGTAGAGCTTTTGCTTTGCATGCAGAAGGTTGCAGTTTCGATTCTTAATGGCATCTCCAGGCAGGGCTGGAGAGACTCCCATTTCATTTTTTTTTAAAAATCTTATTAATTTTTCACAAAAATATTTTTACATATTTTGACATAAACTGTAAATTGCTTTATCTGTTGCCCTCCCCTTCCATGGTTTCCATATTTACAATTAAATGCTGCATATTTTGCCTGTACTATTCAATATATCCAATTTAACCTATTTGAATTAGAGAGACTCCTGTCTCAAACCCTGAAGGGCTGCTGCCAGTCAGTGCAGGAAACACTGAGCTAGAGGGGCTTATGGGCTTGGAATGAAGGCAGCTTCCTATCCCAGGAAGCTGTAGCAGTGGGTAGTTGGCAGAGCATGAGGCCTGGGCTGCCCCAAAGCTGCCTGCCTGCAATGCTTTCCCTATCCTGGCCCCCTTGCTCTTGAGAATCAGGGGCCACTCCTTCCGCCCTCTGGGGCTCCCCCTTCCCTGATGCACATAGGCAAGTGCCAGTCCATGCATGTGCAGAGTGTGCGCCCGGCTCCCTGCCTCTTCCCCCACCCCACGCGATCCGCCCGGTGCAACGGACCATGTGCTCGCTGGGAGAGGACTCAGCCCTCAATTCCTGGTTGCCATGGAAACGCCATTAGAAATTGCATTAAAAAGAAATGAAACCGGGAGCTCCTTGGCTGGGCACGAAAGGAGATCAGGGAAAGAGCATCTGTGCGTGCATGTGCTGAGGGACCCGGAGCCCCTTTCGCTTGGGCTGATGCAAGAACAGAGGGAGGGAGGGAGGGATGCAATGCTTCTGCCCCCCCCCCCGCTCCTAGACAGGCCCAACTGTACATGCCCAGATGCATGCAGAATCACGACGTTTGCTCTCAGGGATGTTGTGGTGTAGATGGCTCTCTTGCAAGAAAACACAACAGCAGTGGGGCAGCGCTGCTTTACTAAAGTGCAGTAGCTGTGGGGCAGGCAGAAACTCAACAGGTGAAGCTTTGCCCTAGGCTTGAAGGGGTAAAAAATGGGTGGAAGGAGCAATAATGTGGGGTTACCCCTGGAGTACGTGGAAACGTTTGGGTCAGGGCCTTGAAAACTGAAATGTCACTTTCTCCCATCCATGCAACCAAGTGGAGCGTCTCTCACTTCTCATCCTCTGTGTGCTTCTAGGCAAGGAGCAATCTCTGGTCATTTTTGTGCTTGATGGGTTATTGGGTCTCTCTCTGTGTGTGTGATGGGGTGGTTGCTAGGCAACCACAGGGCGCAAGGTATCCCCAGTATTCTTGTACTTTTATATATTAAAAAAAAAAACTTTTAAAAAGGTGCTTCCTATTTCTGGGCTTTGTTGTCACCCTCTTGCTGGGCGATGGTGGTCCTCCTCGATTAGGCTGTTTTTAGAGCATATTGCTCAGTGGCACAGCATCTGTGTGCAGGAAGTCCCAGGGGTTCAATTCCCAATGAAAGCTCCAAGCACAGATGCCCTCTAGGTGGAACCCTGAACAGCCTCTGCAAGGCAGGGCAGGCGATGCTCGCTAGGTGGACCAATTCAGCCTCAGGTGGCTTTCTCTGTTCTCCGTTAAGTCAAAATGGTCTTCTGACCCCCTGACAAGGATGCGGGACAATTCTGGGGAGCAGGAGTTGTTCTCTGGGGGCCCAGATGGACCCTGCTGCACTGCTCCCCCACCCTCTTACCACAACAAAGAGCACGGGGAGCCACGGTCCTCCCCCTCCCCACTGCTGTGCCAACCCCCATGCTCACCCCAAGAAGCAGACAGGACAGCAGACAGCTAAAAATACCCCTTCCGCTTTATTTGGATTTCTTTTCCTCTGCGCAGGTGATTGACAGGGCCGCGTAAATACATTCTCAGCCAGAACCGCTCGCCTGCACCCCACCTTCCGCTGCTGGCTCTGAAAGGTACCCTCTGAAGCGGGACAGGGGGGCAGGTCAGGTCTAGAGCCCTCTTTAATGCCCTCTGCACCCTGCCCCCTGAAGTTGAGTTTGCAGCTTCCATGGGGGGGGGAAGGGCAAACAAGCGGCACCAAACCATCCCGGCTCAGTCCCCATGTGGGTGACCCCTGCAGCCTCCCCAGCCTCGGTGTCCATCTGACCCCTGGGCGGTGCTCCTGCCTCTCCCTTAATCCTGCGCAGCCTCCACCCCGCCCCATTGCCACAAGCCGGGCCCAGCTCCTGCTGCCCAACGGCAGGGCTGTGCCGCCTCCACCACAGGACCCCATTCCCCTCCCCAGACCTCCAAGACCCCACCCCACCGAACGTCCAAGCCCTGGTCCAACCATATTTGGGCTGTCTGCACCCCAGTCCCCCCGGATCGGCCGGCGGCTGAGTTTCTGCCAGCTCTGCCAGAAGCACCCCCCACCCACCAAACGCAGCCCTCTGTGCCTTCCCCCATGACCTTGAGCACCTGGGTTTTGCAGTGGGCGAGGAAAGCCAATTGTGCGTGAACGCAGAACCCCTGTCATCTCCCTGGGCACACTGCATTTACACTGCGCTGCCCTGCAGCTATATTCCCTCCCCCCTGCCCAACCCTCCCAGTTGCTCCTCTCTGTGCCCAGCCTGCCCTTGGCCTCCTCCTTCTCCTGCCCCACCTAATGCCTCTGAGGTCCATTGGCCTGATCCAACCCAAGAAGGCAAGGCGCTGGGGAGGCCAGGATAGGTGTGTCCGGCTGGCATGGAGCAGGGAGCGGTTGAGGGGGATGGGAGGGTGGGCTTGGCCAAGCTCCGAAAGGGGTTTGAAAACTATGGGAGGTTTGGCACAGCAGGTGGGGAGGGGAATGGGGCAGGCTGGCCAATGCAACTGGGGGGGCAGCATGGAGAAGAGGCAGGAGGCGGAAGGAACTAGGTCATCCCTTGGGTGCCTCCAGGCCACAGGTTGGTTGGCTGACACGTACAGGAATGAATGGCTGCGGAAGGGCATATCAAAAGTACAAAAGGACCTGGTGGCCTGCTGGGGGCCACTGCTGCCCCAAGGGAAGTCTGGCTGGTTTCTCGGTTTGGCACAGGTCATTGCTGGCAGGGCCACGGCGGTGGACAGAGGGAAGCTGCAGCACAGATGGGGCTGGCAGGTGCATGTCTGTGTTTCCCAGTGTATGGGGAGGGGTCTCTCTCTCTTTCTGTGTGTGTGTGTTTGTGTATTTGTGGTGTGTATGTGTGTGTGTGTCTAACTGGCTTTTTTTATATCAAGAACACTTAAGTTTAAAATCTTTACAAAGGACAAAACACGGCGTCTTCCGTTAGTGTTTTAAAGAACTAAAGATCTGCTTAAAAAACGTCTCTTGGAAAGAAACAGACGGACAGGAAAAAAGTTTTCTCCACGACACGAAGGAGAGGCGTGAGGGTTGCGGGGGATGGGGCGGGGGGGGGGAGGAGAGCCACCTGGACAGCATCTGTTTGGGCCCAGCACCAAGCGCAGGCTACATATCCAGGACACAGCACTGGGGCTTTGGGCACCGGACTGCACCTGCCCAGGGCTCCCTGGCATGCGGTCCCAAGCCGCTGTCTCGGCATGGCAACTCAGCTCACGAGAGTTGTTTTCCCATGGCACTGACTGGTAAATCTCTAGTGGTAAGGAGGGAACGGCAGGCAGGAGCCACCCCGAGGCCCACAGTTGGGGTTCCCCAGGCAGTGCCCTGTGGCTCTGGGGAGGTGCCGGGAGGGGCCTCCAGCAGGCTCAGAGGGCTCCCCAATCCCTTCCTGCACAGTGTCTGGACTCGGGAGCAGGCGGCTCTGGTCGCAGTTTTTGGCCCCCTTCTGCTGGGCCAAGACCCTCGCCGGGCCTCCAGGAGAGTCAAAGCACTTGATACAAATGAAATCCCCAAAGGGCGAGTAGTCCAGGGACGCTCGCCACACCTTGCCGCCACTCCCCCCTCCCCCCGGCAGTGCCAGGTCCGGCGAGGGCGCACGGGGAGTGCACGGGTGCTTGGGGCAGGCTATACCCGGGTGGTGGAGTGTGAGTGCGGGAGCCCAGTACTGCTGAAGCTGGCGGCGAAGGTGTTGTAGGGGTGCAGGGTCTGCAGACCCACCAGGGAGTTGGGGATCATTGTGATGGTGTTGGGCGTCATGAGCGGGATGTCGTCCGGTGAGCGGCGAAGGGTGAGCGTGTAGTCGGGCAATGCGGCAAGGCGCAGGGCGTCGTGGGGGGCCTCGCAGTCGCCGTGGTGCGCCTGGTTTGCCTGCAGCGATGGCATCTCCTCCTCTGGGGTGTGACCGATGTCGTTGGCGGCGCTGGCGGCCCGCTGCGGGCTGGGCTGGCGGTGCGTGTCTTGCCGGCGCTTGTCCTTGCGGTAGTAGAGGGCGGCGAAGGCCAGGACGTTGAGGAAGAGCAGCGAGGCACCCACGGCGATGGTGACGCTCAGCTCGGTGGAATAGTCCCGGGGGTTCTCCACCAGCAGGGTCCCCGCCCCGTCCTGCTCCGGGTTCCACTTCTCCTGTGAGCCCTCACTGGTGTAGGCGGTGGAGATGGCTGGGCGCTTGGTGCTCCAGGCCTTGCCGTTGGGCCGGCGGGTGATGTGGGAGTTCTGGGTAGTGTCGGGCGGCGGCACCTTGGTGGTGGTGGAGGTGTAGTGGAACATGTCATGCAGGTTGTACAGGTGCGGCACCAGGTGCTTCCAGAAGGCAACCTTGGTGGCGCGGTAGTGATCTCGCACGCGCGGCTTGAGGCCGATGTGCAGGTAGAGCTGGTCGCGGGGGTTGTACTTGGACCACGCCACCTCCTCAAAGCGGTTGGCCTTGGTGTGGATGAACTTGGTGTCCTGAGGCACCGGCTTGTTGGGGTCCCTGGAAGTGTGAGAGAAAGAGGGAACACAAAGTCAGCAACGTGACTTTGGACAACATTATTATTATTATTATTATTAGATTAAATTTATCTACCGCCCTTCATAAATGGATCCCAGGGTGGTTCACAGAATAAAATACAAGCTAAAGCACAAGTAAATAATTAAACCAAAACAATAACACACACACCCTCTCACAGATACATTTTAAAAGACTGTCAGATTTTTATTTATTTATCACATTTATATGCCACTTTTTCCTCCTTGGGACTTCAAGGCAGCGTACGTGGTGCTCCTTCTCCTGCGCACCTCAGCCTCACAACAACCCTGTGAGGTAGGTTAAGGTAAAAGATGCCCAAGGTTGTACCCAGTGAGCTTCACGGCTGAGTGGAGATTCAAACCCTGCCCTCCCAGATCCTAGCCCAACACTCTTAACCACTACGCCAGCTGGGCCCTCGAGGGAGAAAGAACCACTATGCCAGCTTCAGAGGCCTTTAGAAAGACAAGTGGCCTATCTGGGGTAGTTAACACCAAAGCAGAAGCAACAAGCTATTAAAACATAGGCGGTTGATTTAAATGGCAGGCCCTGAAATTCTGGTTCTGTAAATCTGAGCTCAGTCTAGGGCAGGGATGGGGAAACTTTTTCAGGCAAGCTTCTGAGGAAAACATGCCACTCATGGGTGGGCCAGAGGTGAAGTGGGTGGAGCAACATGTGTAATTCTAACCTCTGCCCAGTAGGCTGTGCATTCACTTCCCCACCCTCCATCTAAACATGCTTGAGATGTTACCAGAGTTCAAGGACACGTTCCAGCCAATCAGAAGCAATAGGGATGAGAGGGAGGGCCATAGTGGGGTGTGGCCTGGAGAGAAAGTCCCAAGGGCCAGATGGAGAGCCCTGAAGAGCCACATCTGGGACCAAGATTCCCCACCCCTGCTCTGGCAGATGGAGACGAGGCTTTTCTTGAGGAACCACCTTTTGCTTAGCCTGATGGTTGATCCTTTTTATTCTGTACTGCCCACTCCAATGGGAAGTGGCCCTCTTTGACTTGAAACCCTTTTAACTGAAGGAGGTAGGGATCAGACCTAGGACCCTCATGCCTACACAGCCTAATGAGCTGCAGCCTTTGTCTCAACCTCCTGCCCCACCACCAAAACCAACCAACCTGTTTAATGCACAACTTTGCACAGGGAGGCAGCATGGCAGGAGGTGTCTGCAGCTTGCAAGTAACACAGCCCCTGCAACCATTACATATCCCTGTCCTGCACCCTAGGTTCGTCCACTAGGGAGATGACTGGTACCCCCCACCCACTTGGCCCCTGGGGTGGGAAGGAGGGTGGTGCAAACCTACCCGGTCTTGGCAAAGTTTGTCCAGTAGGTCATGACCACAGCACTCAGCATGACATCGTTCTTGGAGAAGTTGCAGGGGAAGAGGTCAGTGGGCCCGATCATGGGGATCCCGAAGACGTAAGGCACCTCGTCCCCGTGGGCGGCGTCGGACCAGGGCGGCTTCATGAGGCTCTGACAGTGGTGGTAGAAGGCGTAAAAGTATGTGGGGGAGCCATAGCGGGCATGCAGGTCAGCGGTCACCACTGAGGGCTCCACCCACTGGTGGTCGGTGAACAGGGCCACCAGCGTCTTGCGGCGCGTCTCGGGGTTGTCCCGGTCAGCCCAGTCCGTGTACATGAACTTGATGGTCTCACGGAGCGTGTCCTTGCCCTCAGGGTAGCCGTACAGGTTGTCCACAAAGTTGGAGACGGAGTAGTCAAAGTCGCTGCCCGAGACACCGTCCTCCGGGTCCACCACGCCCTCCACGAACTTGAGCCCCTCGCCTTGGTTGACGCCCAGCATGATGTCGTAGTTGAGGAACTCGCCCTGTTCCATCAGGATCTCAGGGTCGTCAGGGATGACGTCCCCATCAATGACGGGCCCGAAGGCCACGTGGTAGCGTGCCGGCTGGATGTCCTGCTCCACCAGCTCCTTGGCGCTCTTCTGCCGCAGGCAGTCCACCATGTCCACCGTGTCCAGCACGTTGCAGCCAACCTTGTCAGCCAGCAGGCTAGTGTACTTCACTGGCTGGTAGTTGACAGCCCAACTGGAGAGGGCAGAGCCGCTCTGGATGATGGCCCTCTGGAAGAGGCCTGCAGGTGGGAGACACAGAGGTGAGCAGAAAAGGCTTGAGCATCAACATCAACCTTCTCTCTCTCTCTCCTGCCTAGGCTGAGGAACCCCTTAGGATGCCGCCCTGCCACAAGTGCTGAAACGGCAGAATTGACTGCCGAATTAAGAGGATGTCATGACAAGAGTGTTTACGGTGGAACAGAGACCCCTGACGGATCACCTACCAAAATATCAGCAATCTATGAAGTTGTGGGCGGGATTTGGCATATGAGCAGCAGATGAATGAAAGATCGAATGGTAGCGGGGTTTAGATAATGAAAATACATGTGTTACAAACAGCTTATAAAAAGGAGTATAAACCAAACGTCAGGAAAGGAAGGGTGGTGGGAAGTCAAGAAGGAACTTGCATGTTTTTTAAAAAATGTATATGGTGACAAATGCTTTGAAATATTGCTGGAGACTTAATAAAAATGATATATGCACACATACAAACACACAAACAATATGCCACCCTGTTTTCCTGCCTACAAACAATGTGGCAGCCATCAGCCTCTGCGAGAAGCTAGCTCTAAAGGGAGAGAACAGTTGATGCTGCCCTGCGGACCTTTGGCCTCTCCTGAACTATTTCTGGGAAACACAAGAAGCCACAAGACACACCCAACAGCCCCTCTTTCTGTTGCTGGGCTCCAGAAATGGGAAGAAAGGATGCCACTTTCTTCTTAGATGCTGGCCTGGCTGCAGAGTGTGGGGCACCCTGGGGCATTAGCTTAAGCCTCCCCCCCTCCAGTGTTCACTAACCCATCGCCAGCAGCCTCTGGCGGGATGCTCAGGCAGGGCCAAGTGTGGCTCCGTCCAGCCCCGCCCGCCACAATAAGCAGGAAGGGGACGAGGGGGTGTTGGCAGCGGCCTCCCTCCTGCAGGCAGGGCTCTTGGAGGCTGCAGGCTGGCGGCTTGGGGGTTAAAGCCCCACACCACTTAACCCTGTGCATCCCACCGGGAGCAGCCCTCGCTTCCTGCCCAGCTGGGCCCCGCTCTGTGCCAATGCCCAGTGGCACAAAGAAGCCTTTTTGCTGGAGGGAACACAAGCAGCAGGGGCGGTGGTGGGGGTGGGGGGGC